CATAATTTTGGCGATTGTCTCCATAACGATAAATATAAAAGATCACATTAGATGCAATGCAAAAAAAAAAAAAAGAAAAAAAATTTCCTAACATAATTTGAGTATAGGTCTTACTTTAAATTCTCATCTAACCTTAACCTAAGCCCAATTTAAATCTAATCTTAAAAATTAGCTAATGCAGGTCGAATGATTGACAAACCTGGCATAGATTTCTTACGTGTAAATTTTTAGCCTGGCATCAGCCAAATCTGTTTCTTTCGGGTTATGTAATTTTACATAACTTGATTTACATAGATCGATATTGCTTAACCATCACATCAAAAGGTGACTTTTAATAAAACTTACAACCGAGCTCCAAGTATTATCTTTCATATTATATAATGATAACTATTTAGAAAAAATACTAATTAGCAACCCATTATACAGTACAAAGAAATTAAGTTCATAGTTTGTAAACCTTATCCAATGAAGAATATAAAATGTCCGGATTTGCATCTCTTAAACCTTGACCACCTCCGATATATAATATAAATGTATCGTTTAAGAGCGTAGCACTATAACCTTCAGACGCAAGAGGCGCAAATAGCCCAGGTAATATTGACCAAACTAAATTAGTTACATCTAATTTAAGCATACTAAATACGTTATTACCTCCTCCATAAACATATATTCTATTTCCTGAAGAAATACAATGAATAAAGAGTAGTTCTCTATAAGTAAGATTCCCAGATGCAGATGTTACTGGTATACTCCATTTTTGTGCCGTAATATCAAATACAGAGGTAAAATTCCAATCAGTTTCTTTCACGAAAATTCCGCCAATATAAACAATCAAATTGCTATTCGTTCCATTCATACATGCTGCATGACCACTTCTGATTATTAGACCAGGAATTGATGAAAGATCTGTCCAAGGCATTGATGCTATATTGTTCGTCGTAAAAGGTACTGAGACATCAAGGAAAAAAAAGTCTGATGATGAACTGCCATTCCATCCACCATTAAAGTATATTTTATTATTAACAAGATTGGCAGTTACTTCTGCTTTTGGAGGAGGAACAAATGTATTTATTCCACTGATGTAAAAATCAATAATAAATATCAAAATGAATTTCATATTAAGAACGGTTCAAGATAGTGAACAATTCTAAATATGTAACTCCGAAGCGATTATTTATAACTACATAGTGTACTATTTGGTTTGCGACAGGGACACGGAATTTATGTGATTTAGTGTGATTTGATGTGATTTGGATTCGTTGCGAGCTATCAGTTACACAAAAATTAATATGTAATAATTAGTAATTATGCGATTTAGTGTGGTTTGTCAAGAATCGCACTAAAACAAATCGCATAATTTCCGTGTCCCTGGTTTGCGACATACTATGTAAATCAAAACTATATGTGGTATTATATGATTAAGCGAAAGCCGTACTAGTCACACAATTTGTCAAGCAGATCATTTTGATTGTACATGCCAGATAAACAAATTATCGGTAGATAATAAACATAGTAATAGCGTAACAACCAATCGAGGGACCAGTCACATGATAATCGACATCCTGATTTCATTTTATTTTGGCACCTATGCAATGTAAACAGTCAATTCTCTTTATAACGAACCTTTTTATAATAAACCCACTCTATAATGAGCCTTTTTTAGAGGTCGGTATATGAACATGGGAAATTATCTTCATAAGGAGTTTTAAAAATTCTTAATATAAGAACTGTCAGTTCATATTACACGTAAGTTAACTGTAAACAACTTTTTTTTCTTTTCTATTCGTTATTTATTCATATTTTAACAAAAAAATAAAGGCGTTCATATGTAGAAATACAAGAAAACCTGACAAACAGACGATTACAACCTACGTTATAGCGAAATCCTTATTTCAATAATAAGAGTGAGCTGTATTTGGATAGACTGGTTTTTTATTCATGATTCTATTTTTTAATTCTGCGACCATTTATAGCTTCATGAATGTTAAATCCAATTACAGCAGAAGCCGAACTTCTTTGGGCATAATGAACTGTGAAATTTTAAATTTATAATATTAAGTTTCGAAAGTGTATATTTTGTACATTCAATGCCATTTGTACAATTTAATTCAAATTTTACAGTTTAAATCTGTTGGCGATTATTATTTAGCAATTAAATTTGTCTATTTAACTTTAGAATATGTTTAACTATGTATTCTGGTCTAATCGTAGTGGTTTTGTCTCTTAAAAAACGATTAAGACAGCTTTCCCTTCAAACAACTTAATTTTCAAAAAAACAAACCATCAAGAAAAGGATTGATAAAAGTACAAAAGAAATTTGTAAGACCGGACGACCACGTGACTACGCTCTCAATTGGTAACTTTTATCGGTAGATTTTTTCACAGTAGATCGATATAATAAATAACCATTTATGGTGATACGTAACAAATATGTTTGTACGACGTTTTTGTTTGTCGATACACAATCATAATAACGATAAGCAGTCGGATATTTATATAGTCTTGCTTATAAGAGACTTATTCATTCTCGCCTGAACCAAATACGTAATGTCCAAATACGTAATGTCCCGGAGTTACAAAATTAAATCAATCGAGGCTGATGAAATTCTCGATTATAAGTGGTCATCGAATCTCATAACTAGATTTTCAGTGCGTACACACTCCGAGTTTAGGTCATCGAATCTCATAACTAGAATTTTCAGTGCGTACACACTCCGAGTTTATTGAGTTTATACTTGATACGTACAGTACGTTTAATACAAATCTTAGCTTTATTAGAATAACTATAGGAATTATTATTTATCAAAAACATAATTGTTTCAATTATTAATTCCTTACATAACTTAATATTATGACAAGCATTAATGTTATTGATAAAGTGTACGTAGTACTCTTGAACATACATGACACCTTTGATGTTCAAGAATAAAACAGAGCCAATCACAGAGTCTACATGTTAGGCATGTAAAAAATTAAGGATAATAAATGATTGTAAATGTTTCACAACATTTTGTTATATATCAGAGGAAAATTCGGATTTTACTACTATATACATACATACGTACGTACGCAAATTTTTTTTTTAAAAAAATGATAATATTACCTATCGAGTGTCTTTTTGAAATCTTTAATAACCTTCGAACTTATGATGGAAGTTTACTTTATGTAAGCTTATTTTCGTGCCTTCTTGTAAACCGTCAATGGTGTAGACTTATCGTACCAATATTATGGAGCCAACCAAAATTTTACGATAAAAGATTTGTAAGAGTATGTCTTTTATTATTAAATGCTGAAGAACAAACTTCATTAATTCCTTTTAATATAATACTTCCAAATGATCCAAAACCATTATTCGAATATACAAGTCATATTACATATATTAATGATAATTTAAATTATGGTGTCAGTAATTGGGTTAGAAAAGAAAAACTTGGTTTTTCTGATAAACCTATAAGTGCGATTAGATGTTCTTTAATTACTATGTTTCTTCGAACAAGTAGGAAACTTAAATATTTAAAATTTGTCGGAATTATTTATAATATTACAATGTTTGCTGAAATTATTTATAAAAACACTACTTTTATCTCTTTAAGTCTTTGTCGTAACCATTTTAATTCTGAAGAAAGAAATGAAATATTGCTGGCACTTTCCAAAAATTCCTCTCTGACTTCTTTAAAATTTGATGATAGTCAGCTTGATTTTGAAGGTGGAAAAATACTTGCAAAAATTCTTTGCAAAAATACTCTAACTTCTTTAAGTATTGGACATTGCAAACTCGGCTCTGAGGGTGAGAATGCTATAGCCGAGGCTCTTCGTATGAACTTTTCTTTAACTTCTTTAGATCTTAGAAATAATCAGCTTGATCTTAAAATTGGAAAAATACTTGCTGAAGTTCTTTGTAAAAACACATTAACTTTCTTAAATATTGGTTGCAATCAACTCGGTTCTAAAGGTGCTAAAGCAATAGCGAAGGCTCTTAGAATAAATTCTTCTCTGACTACTCTAGATATTAGTGATAATTTAATTGGTTGTGATGGAAGTCTTGCATTAGCGGAGGCGCTTTGTACAAACAATACTCTTACTTCTTTAAATATTGGACAGAATCAACTTGGTTATATAGGGGGCAAAGCATTAGCTGAAGCTCTTTGTACAAACTCTTCTCTTACTTCTTTAAATATTGGATCTAATCAACTTGGTTCGGAAGGAGGGGAAGTATTAGCGATAGCTCTTTATAAAAATACCACTCTGACTTATATAGACCTTTCTAACAATAAAATTGGTCATAAAGGTGGGCAAGCGTTAGCTGAGGCTCTTCATATAAATACTTCTTTAATTTCTTTAAATCTTTGTAATAATCAACTTGGCTTTGAAGGTGGAAAAGCATTATCAGATGCTCTTTGCAAAAACTCTACGTTGAGTTCCATGACTCTTAGGAATAATCAAATTGGTAATGAAATCACAAAATTAGGTCAAATATTTGGTATGACTACTAGTTGTCAAATATTTTTATATTAATAAACTTGATATTAAAACAAATTAAACACTATGCAATGTTTCTACACATATATACAATAGATGCAGACATTTGTATATATCTCTTATATTAATTTCCTCAACAATTAGTAATCCAAATTAAGTTAAATTTCTACATATTGTAGAAAGATGCTTGTTCTATAACATATAAAGATTCTGAGCCATTGGTTTATAAATTACAAAAATGTATTTAAAAAAAGTATTCTTGATAATTAGCAGTCCGTTTTGGACCAAATTTTTGCGTATTATATGATAAATATCGCTCTTTAATATGCAGAAATTTGATACCATTTAGATCACTAGTCGTCAAGAAAAAAATTTAAAATTTGAAATTTTACATAATTCTTCATATCAATTATCTCAATAACCCATAATTCAAATTATATCAATTTTTTATATATTGTAAAGAGACATTTGCTATATAATATATAAAAGTTTGATTCAATTTGGTTTACTAGTTGTTGAGAATTTAACATTTACGGTTTAGTATTTACAAAATTTTTTGAAATTTATAAACTAAAAATATATAAATCGATTTTAAAAAACAATCGCTATAGAATAAATATAAACCTTTAATATTAGTTAAGTATATTATGAGATTTTTATAAATAAATTTTTTTCTTTTAACCCGAGATATCAGTTATCAGGGACGTGAATTATTACTATATATACATGAATTATGTTGATTATCTATTTACGTGAACTTTCTAACAAATGGATTGCTTTTTTTATGCACTTTTTTACACCTCAATACTACTTGGATATCTTTTGTAATTTTGTTCCTCCAGATAACTGGCAGTACGACTTCCGATAATGTACCTTTTGTCCGTGAATCAAACCCAGGTCTCATAAATAATATTTATGTGGAACCACACAGCTACCGTATGAAATTGGATAACTACTACATTTTGATGCATTGATTATTTCTTCAATTGTGGTCGGTAGTGTTGAGTTTCGTGTGAATTCGGACATACTGTTGGCCGATGCCTAAAGGTTTCTGCTGATTTGACATTCGATAGCGAAGTGTTTAGTTGACTATCGATATAATTATAGACTATCAATGTTATTATAGACAATCGATATTATTATATTTAAAAAAGTTTTAATTCCATCAAAATTTATTACTCCATTTATTCGTATTCACTTTCTTGTCACATTTTACCAAAAACTTTTATTTTAAGATTAATGTTAAAAGATCGTTTTCAAGAGTATCATATTGGTATTAACGGTAAAATTTTTTTGATAATAATTAAGTGTTCTTTTGCTATAAAATTTATATTCCTTAAAAGTCTTGATAAAAATCTGTTACTTAAAATTATTAATTAATTCTTATAAGTTACTTAATAAATACAGTTATTACTTATGATGTACTATAACTTTAATGGCAAATAATTTCTCACGACTTACAAGTAACTGAATTTGATACTGAATATCCGCATATAATTATCTCTTCCTAGATTAGATCGAATTTAATTCATACTTAACATCCTTAAAAAATAAAGTTATTACCTGATATGTATGTACAGTAGCCACCAAAAGTAACGCCCGATTTGCAGATCATCTCACATGAGCAAATAAAACGGC